TTATAATTGTTGAATGTCAGTCACATATTTGCAATTTTCTTAATGTACAAATTCATAAGAAATAGTTTCGAGCGAAATTTTCATTAATGTTTATATTATTATAACACTAGCTTTCCGCCCGCGGCTTCGCCCGCGTGGAGTTCGGTTATATCGCGTTTCCACGAGAACCTTTCAAAAGTCTGAGATAAAAACTATCCTATGTTCTTTCTCAAGGTCAACTCTATGTCTGTATTAAATTTCATTACAATCAGTTCAGTGGTTTAGGCGCGAAAGCGTAACAAACAGACAGACAGAGTTACTTTCGCATTTATAATATTAGTAGGGATTATGTTCTTCTTTAGATATTGGTCTTTCCTTATAAAATTCTCCAATATTATACTAAAGTATTTAAATAGGTATTTGTGATTATAAAATAATATATCAAGTAACTCCGTATGTCACAGTCAGTGTTTTAATATTTAGGCGCCGCGATCTCAAACCGAGATTACTTTTTCTTTACGAGTTTTTAGTTTTTTTGTTTATTTTTTTTCGGTATTTTTAAACCGCTACTGGTTTTAAAAATTGTTAAAGTTTTGATGTATTTATAGTCGCCGGTTTAAAAAATTCAAACTACCTTCTTGATTAGATACGGATTTTTTTTGATAATATTTGTTCAAATAATTTCTATTTTCGTGAGCAATTAATTTTAAGGTTTAACGCCTTTGTCATATTAAAATATGTTTTACGATCACGTGGTTGAAAACATTTGGTTTTTAAAATGTATAACACCGAAAATAGTTTTCATATAATTTTTTTTTTAATTCCAAAATGGCAACAGCATAACATTATACAGCCAATAATAATATTTTTTTTTGTTTCAGATAAAGGATGCCACATACAGGTAAAGATCCAAGCCATTCCGCCCACTCTTAAGCAACAAACAAAAACCCAAAATCAATGTCCAGATCTTAATTAAGTCAAACGACATTCAGGGGTCGGAACAACAGGTATTTACCTCACACATTGAAATCATAAGCGTTTCAAAGAAACCTTATCTCTGTATTGGGAGTAATTAAGAGAATAAAAGGGAAAAAGAAAGATTATATCGTTTGACCCACCGCGAGTTAAAATCATGATTCATTCAGTATTTTGAGCATAGATTTTGAATTATAAAACACTTTTAGAACTTTGCTTGTTTAGAAGATAATGACGTCATTCTCTTAGATTCACACACACACACACACACACATACACACACAAATACAATTTGTAATAAAAAAATCTATTGATACAAAACTGAAATATGTATACAAACATTAATTTTAAAACATACCTTATTAATATTCTACAACATGAAAAAACATTTTTTTTAACTAACAGTAGCATATTTTTCTATATTTTTATGATAATCTTTAGAAAATCGTAAAGAACAAAAACCGTTAAATAGCGAAATGAATGAACGAATCATGAGACAACAGAAATAGGTATTAAAAAATCGACCAATAAAAAAATCAATTCCGTAGATTATAAATATGGCAATAAAAATATCATCTACATATAAAATATTCAAACGCGAATACTTTGAGATCACACACGACGCTTCCGGCTCAGCGAATTATAATATATATATACTATAATATTTTACATTAATACTAAACTTTTATGAATATCTATCAATTTGTATTGAATGACGCTGTAATAAATAATTTAATTTATTTCACACTTTTTCTATTCAATGATATGCTTATTTTAGTAAAACCTTTCTTATGTATGTATATGTTATAAATCATTAAAATCGCTTTAATATAAGTTTTCTATAATTTCCTTAATGTTTTCCTTAAATTTATTTAACAAAAAGTTTCTTTGAATGTGTCTTTTATTTTTACTAGTCTGAATGGTTTTGGATTTGCAGCTTGAAACTATTAGAAATTAAAAAAAAAATATTGTCCCTACAAAGTTGTTTTAATACTACCTATTCAGACTTAACAGTTATTTCATAAATATTCAACATATAAAAACAATTTTATTTGCTCGGTTTCGATAAAATATTTCTCCATAATAATAGTTTTATAAGCAATGAAAGTTATTTTCGAGTTAATAACCAGTTCCATAACAATTACCGAACCGAAGTTGACATCCGTTTTTTGTTCGTTTGAGCGTTTAGATCTGTATCACTTGAGAGATTCTGTTCACGATAGTTGATAATATGGATAAGACTTAAAATAATATAAAATAAAAGAAATATAATATATAAATTCATTAAAAACATATATATACTAGAAGACCTGGCGAACTTCGTATCGCCCTATAATCGAGAAATATCTATTACGTTTTTTTATTAATATTTTTGGAGTTTACCTGTAAGCCATAAATCTCCGTGTATTGAAGTGTGACAGAATGATTGACAAATTAGTTAGTTGTCAAATCTAATGTCAAAAAACCGTTGGTATGGGAAATAAAAAAGCGCTGTTTTTAGGGTTTTCCCGGAAATTAATAAAAAAAATTCAGCTTTTAAACTTTCCGTGAACCTCCACGAACATTTCAAGACTAAGATAAGATAAATCCGTTCAGCCGTTCTCGAGTTTTAGTGAGACTAAGGAACAGCAAATCATTTTTATATATATAGAAGAGAAGATAGAAGATTATGATCTGTAGCCTTCAATATGTTTGTCATTTTTGACAATAGACAAAGTTTTATACATTTCTTCCAATATAAATAAATAATTTTAATAATCATATCCATATTAATTCTAAATTATATTTCGTCTCATCTAATTTTCTAGACGATTTACAACTCTGTTACAATTCCAACGTTTTTTTTTTAATATAATTATTGATGCGGCATAACACGTAGAGTCGATGGCGCGAAATAATTCAATTACGTCATGACACTTTTGTTAGAAGAAAAATAATATCTTCGAATCGTTATACAAATTCACTATCAAAACTTTGAGCTTCAAGTACAATATTTTCATATTTATTCTTCTTCTACCTGGCAATTTCCTAGTTATAGCCAGGGTCTGCCTTACATGTTGTGAATAGTTTTGGCTATTTGTTTTTACGACATCGCCTGCCTGACATCAACCCTACCCTACCCTCTTTTTGGGAATGCATTAATCAGTGATGTCTAAATACTCTTAGAAAGTACATATGACTCGGAAAAATCAGATTGGCACGTGCCCGGGCCAGGATCGAACCCGCGGCCTCATGCTTGCCCTTTAACCACTAGGCCACAACTGACTTAATATTTTCATAATTTTCATATTTATTAAGAGTTAAATATTTTTTTAATAGAATATTCTATCTAAATATGCTACTAGTAACATTTTTTGTTCAATAAATTTATAAATTAATTTTGAAAATGACATGATAGGACAGAACAAAAATTGTATAGAAAATAATAATAGTTAATCCTAAATCATTAAAAAACATTTAAGTTTACTTATTTTCTCTCAAACTTAATAATTTAACTACACTAGATATTTTGTTTTAATTATTTACGAATATATAGTAACACTAGCTGCGCCCCGCGGTGTTACCCGCGGATTATCAGGTCGAACATTTTCCGGGATGTAAAGTAACCTATGTGTTATTCTTGGACGTCAGCTTGCTGTATACAAAATTTTATCAAAATCGGTTCAGCCGTTTGAGCGTGAAGAGGTAACAAACATACAAACACGCTCACAAATTTTCGCAATTATAATATTAGTATGTAGGATTATACTATATTCTCCTGCCAAATTTTACAAAATAGGTTTCATTACTTTACTTTTTAAACTCCTTTTGAAATTATTCGTATATTTAATATATTATTGTGAACTAAAGCTCGTTTAACATAAAGTAATAGCTCGTTAGTTAGTGTCACGCTATTTACGAATTCATTTTAATATATCGATTTGCCTAAATCAAGTCCGCGTTTATTTTGTCGTCCATTGATGTGACAAAAGGTTCGTTTGCGGCTTAATCTTCTATATATATAAAAATGGATTGCTGTTCCTTAGTCTCGCTAAAACTCGAGAACGGCTGAACGGATTTATCTTATCTTAGTCTTGAAATGTTCGTGGAGGTTCAGGGAAGGTATAAAAGGTGAGAAAAATTGATTCATTACTGGGAAAACCATAAAAACAGCCCTTTTCTATTTCCCATACAAACGTTTTATTTTGACATTAGATTTGACAACTAACTAATATGTCAATCATTCTGTCGCACTTCAAAACACGGAGATTTATGGCTTACAGGTAAACTCCAAAAATATAAATAAAAAACGTAAATGATATTTCTTGATTATAGGGCGATACGAAGTTCGTCAGGTCTTCTAGTATATAAATAAATGAATATAATTTTATTTTTAATATTTTATATATATAAGAAAGTCGTATAAGTTATTATTTACAACAAGAACGGCTGTATAGATTATACAGAAAATGTGTAGGGAAGTAACTTAGAAGTAGGAGAAGAATATAGGACACTTTTGTTCCTATTCGATCGAAAAATAAGTTAATAAAATACAAAATCAACATAGTCACCTCCTCCAAGGAAGAAAAGAGTTCCTCAATCAGCTAAACTTTTCTAAGTCTTCAAATAATGCAGACAAAAAGGCAAAACTTAGTTGTGTATAAAATGAAAAATGACAAAGTTTATCTAAAATTTTATTTCTATATGCAATAAAATATAAAAATGATTTAATTTTATATAATAAAGATAATTCAATGATCACAAAATGTACTAAAAAATTCAAATCGCTAAAAGTTTTCCTTCAATCAACTTTAAATTAATTAATTTAATTAAACTTAGGTTTTCATTGAATCCACGTTAACATATAGTTTGTCATAAATTTTTATCATAAAATAATTTCGTGGTAAATATTAAATTACTAAATGAAACCAAAAACAAGAGCATATTATATGATGTACTACATATATATGAGACAAAATTTTCTAGATATATTACAACTTAAATGTAATAAATATGTATATTATCATGTATTATATATAATACTATAAATTTTGTACATATAAACCTTATTCTTTAACCGGGCTCATATAACGACACCACATGTTCTGTATGCGTGTCTGTCTGTCTGTCTGTGTGTTCTCCATCTCCGGTCGTATCTTGTAGGCTCGTGGTTTAGAGAACTTAAAGTCCACGTAGTCCACGCCGTGTGGCATCCAAATCGTAGTGAAAGCCGACCCTGGTAAGAGTTTAAACGATCAAACTGATAGTTTAAATTGATTGGTGGAGCTAGTACTAAGGGTAGTGTATTGGTATATAGTAAAACAGATATACTAACGTATGTTACGAATAGTTAATGATGAAAACCTATAAATATATAGACGAAACCTCTCATCATTCAATGTATCCATATGCGTGTGTCGGGTCCATCGTTGTAGTGAGAGGAGCTTCAACAGTGACTGGGACTTGTGACCCAGGTGTAGGTTTAAGGGACTCCTATCTAACGCGTTAAACGCTCACTACCGTCCAAGCTCCTCTCTCTACCTAATTTGAAAATAACCTACTAGAGCTGCCTTTGAAGTACGTTCCAAGAATGAATTGATGTTAGTAATCTAATCTTAAAAGAATAAGAAATTGCTTAGATATCTCTTTAATACTTGTACAGGTTAATTTCATCACAATTTATATAATTAAAACTTCAATGACTTCAAGAATAGAAACAAAGTTTCCAATTTATGAGCATAATACACGGAATTTCCAAAAACAACGAAATTTAATTGGTAGCATAGTGTTCAACAACTGTTTTTCAGATTTTTTTGCAATACGGCTTCATTCGCACCGGATTTTTCAAATATTCTGCCTATGTTTTTATTTGTTGGACGAATTATAATCTTTAGTACTGTGTGGAGACACGAAGGAGTTTGTCGAATGGAATAAAGGTTTTTTTAATATATTATGTAAAACCTAACGAGAGGTATAACGTCTTAATCTCTCTACAACGTACTAAAAGACTAGGGCCTGTCCAGAACTCACATTAATACATTCTTGGAACGTACATCGAAGGCAGCCCTAGTAAGTTTTTTTTAAATTAAGTAGAGAGAGGAGCTTGGACGGTAGTGAGCGTTTAATGCGTTATATAGAGTCCCTTAAACCTACACCTGGGTCACAAGTCACTGTTGAAGCTCCTCTCACTACAACGATGGACCCGACAGACGCACCGTGAATACATTGAATGATGAGAAGTTTCGTCTTCCAAACCTTTTGTTACTTACTGTCATAGTTATCAATAATATCAGGCCGATGCGTCCCCACAGTGTAAAACCTTAGTTTTTCAACAGCGGCCATATACTCATCACAGCGACATCTATCCATTTTAATAAAATATATTTAATACAAATCAATTTAATCCTTTAATTCATTCATAACTTTACAAATATTCACGACATTATTTTTTTTTTACGTCATATTGTTGATATTATTTGAGTCCAAAGAGGTTACATATGTAAAACTTTTTGTATTCATGTAGGAAATTTTATTTCCTAAATGTATATAAAATTTTTGGTCACAAACAAATAATACATGAATAATTTAAATCATAAAAATATCCCTACTAATATTATAAATGCGAAAGTAACTCTGTCTGTCTGTCTGTCTGTCTGTCTGCTACGCTTTCACGCCTAAACCACTGAACTGATTTTAATGAAATTCGGTACAGAGATAGAGTTGACCTTGAGAAAGAACATAGGATAGTTTTTATCCCAGACTTTTGAAAGGTTCTCTTGGAAACGCGATATAACCGAACTCCACGCGGCGAAGCTGCGGGCGGAAAGCTAGTATTGATATATATGACATATTTATTTTTAAATAACCATTATTCAATATATGATATATGTTACATAAATATGGTAGTCTCAAATGACCATCAATAAGAAAGTGTAATGCTTCTATATTGAATAAAGTTGTTTGAGTTTGAGTTTTGAGTTTGAAATACTCTTTTCTTATTCAAGGAAGAATACTTCAAGCACTGCATCGTATACAGATTGAAAAAAAAAAAACAAATTTTATCTTTTACATCGCAAATGATAAAATGCTATAAACGTCTTGTGAGATATAAAAATATGTATAATTTTACAGCCTCCGAGGATTCCGTATTATATTGTATTGTTAATATAACAATATATGGAACAGTAATGCATAATAAACTATAAAAAAATGGCGGCTAACAGCTAGTAGAACAGACTATATTAAAAAGTAAGTTTGGTTAATTATTCGACTGGAAATTAATAATACAAAGATTGTATACATATAAGAATATTTCGTTAGTGTTTTTTATGTTGTTACAATATTGTACAAACTAATATTTAAATTATATATATGACTGAAATATAATTGTATACATTCTATTAGAAATAATTTAAAATCTATATCGTTGTATTAAAATCAAATTTAATATATTATTTATATAATAATAAACGATGTGTTCATAATAAAACATATAAAAGTAACATTTCCAACGCTTACAATCTTTGATTCGCGGAACCAGAACGCTCCCGCGCAATCCTCGCGTTATAAAATAAGTCACGATATCTTAAGTCGGCCATAACGTGTTTTATATATGAGTTTACAGTTTACGATACACCGCGTTATGGTTTTTGAGAATAATAAAGATATTTTAGTGGTGAGAGTACAAGCATCGGCTATCAACTAACGAATTGACATGAAGGATATACCTATACAAAAGAGTTTGAATCTAAGGAGTTTGGGTTTAATATGTAATAATTATTAGCTGTCAGCATTTCAGAGTTGTATTGAATGGAAATGACTTAGTTCTTGCTAAGCATAGGTTATTCGTTAATCGTTTCGTTCATAAGTATTTAAAAAAAAGTTTTAATATTTCTATATGACATAAATATAAATTTTGTTTACCTATTGTGGATCGATTACTAAGTAGGTACGGCATCTTATTTATGTACTAGATTCTTGATATACAGGGTGACTGGTGAATTACTATCAATATTTAAGGAGCATACTCGGTACATGATTCTCATTCGAATTATGTAAAAAAAATAGGTACTTAATTTTTGACAAAATTTCCATATAAATAAATAAAGTGTGTACACGTTCCATGTATTCCAAGTGTGGACGCGTGCGGCGGCGTGCTGATACAACATCACGCCGCCGCGCGCGAGTGTGTCTGTATACCTAATCTGTAGGGTGTTCACACGATGCATAATTAATTACATAACTTTTGGTTAACTTTACTTAGAAGTTTATTAATATTTATGTTATGTTAATTTTTATTTTGTCATATATGATCGTCAAATATCACGTTCTCAAATATCGATAGTAATTCACCAGTCACCCTGTATATGTATTTATATAAAATTAAATAAAGAAAAATATATAGTCTCGACCATTAAGTATATTACTAATACATATGTAGTTTCTTTCTTGAAAATTATAAATGTATTATTATAGTCAAAAATATCTCATACATACATTGCAGGTTATTGAATGAAAAACGGCAAACGCTTCATACTTAGTGAACGATATAAACTTCTACTAAAGATACTGAATGTAATCTATTTAAATTCATCAAAGTTTTTTTTTTAACAAAGTTGAAACTTCTATCATCTATGTTCATATATGTTGTACTATCTTTTAAATGTATTTATATAATCTATTTCCGGAGCCAACAAGGGGCTGGCTGAAGATTCACATTGAATACACGAGACAGGGTTGGTTGATTCTCTATAGGGGAAAGAATTTTCAACAGTCTATTGGCTGAATACGGAAACACGTTTAAAAAATATATACATATATGTCAAAATTGAAAATCAAATTGACAGATGTCAAATATGTTTCTGACGTTGTCAAATGTGACACTTAAAAGTCTTAAAATAAGATAATCTAATTATGTTTTTTAGACTTAATTTATTTAGAATATTTTATTATGTTGCATTCAAAGAAATTCTATAAATTCAGTGTTTTTTTTTTTAAATATTAACAAATGTAAAGGACATATGTGTATATTCTTTTTTTTTTTTTTTTTTGTTGACGTAGTGGAAACTCTTTTTACGAGCCGTCCAACCGGCCTTGGTGGGGCCGGAAGGGATGTGTGAGGCTCGGCCTGGGCAGGCCCCTACTCACTAAAACTACTGCGAAAGCCATCGGCCGCTATGTCGGTGTACCCCGGATCTGTCAGCGACAGGGCACACCAGCGACTGGCCGGTCCTGGCAAAGACCGGACTTACTCCCTCGGAGCATGGGGGTGATCCCGGCAATTAGGACCACTCCGACGACGCCGGGCTTTCAGAAGGGCCGGGTTACCACGCCGACCCCAGCCCGGAACACAGGGGTGCTATTGGAGGCGTAGGAATTGCCTCCGTCGCACCCCCGTACGTCGCCTGCGGGGGGAGGGAGCATCAGCCGCCCTCTCCCTTTCCCGCTGAGATGCCTCCTTCGTGGACATGACCGTCTCTCAGAAGGAGGACACCGCCAACCAGGACCCATCACTCTCGAGCATCTTCTCCACGACACTCGAAAGCGACAGGTCCACTCCGCCGAGAGCCGCCACAAGGTCTTGGCGCTGCGCAGCCCATCTCGGGCACACCTCGAGGGTGTGCTGGGCCGAGTCCACCGCAGCGCCGCACTCTTGGCAGCCTTCTCCCGGCTCTCTCCTGGCCGTCCGACACAGGTAGTAACCAAAGCACCCGTGCCCGGCTAAGACCTGCGTCAGACGGAAAGTGAGGGGTTTGCGTTTCCGCCTCATCCAACGCTCTAGGACCGGGCGAAGCGCTGCCGTTGTACGTCTACCGTACGGCTGCTCCGCCAGGTCCTCCCCCCACTCCCGCATAAGGCGCTCCTCCCCCTGCCGACGAACCGCTCGGATCTCCTCCGACGAAGGGTTCTCGCCGAGTGTCCTCCTACCCGAGACATAGGAGAAACATATATGTATATTCCATTTAATATAGTTTAACACCAAAGAGGTTTTATTTTCATATAATTGTTAGATTCAACCTTGACTATCAAGTGTTACATCTCAGATGATCACAAGTCACTATTAAATCATCCGTTTCATAGTTGCTCAACATTTATATGAATCATTAAAAGTAATGTACGTGTTTTATTACTTTACAGTAATTGAAGAATATTTTAGATGTAATACAAAATACTTGATAATAATGAAAAGATTAAATATTAGACAAATTTACCGAGTTTTCTTGTGGAAATAAAATAAATTAATGTATACAATTTTATACATTTTAATTTGATTTTATTTTAGTTTTTTCTATGAATTATTTAAAATGCTACATTAAATGATCGATTAATTTATATAATCCGAAATATTTACTTTAATTTGCGAATCTTCGTAACACTCAAAATTGGAATTGCTTGAAACGAAAAAAAAATCTTTTATATCCCGCATACATATTACGGGATATTCGTCTTTATTTTGTATACATAAGGTCGTAATTCCCTTGAATAATTTAAATGTCAATCGTAAAGTAAGGAAAGCAATTTGCAACCGTTGGTATCGTCATGACAATAACCGTGAAATGGACGACGGCGTCTTCAAAGAACGTCGTAAATGAAGCATCGCCCCGAACAAATTAGAACTTTAATTTTATTACATTAAGATCATAAATCGCTAAGCTTACGATTGCTTTATAGCTTTAAAATTGGCATTAACGGTAGCTTTGATAGTAGCAAGAATCGAAATAGAGACTATTTAACCGGTAATTGATTTTTGTATGAAACGAATGTTACCGGTTCGTGTGACGTCACTAACTAATGTGAACTTCAAGACTTTTAATTTAAATAACTACATAATTAGTTTGTATGACTTTATTATAATATTAAATAGAAAACCTTTTCATCCATAATAATATTATTATATAGGAATTTTTGTATTATTATTTATTGCAATAATTCTTTTCTTTAAAGACAGTTGAGGCCATATTGAAACGCGTACAAGTCATTTTATTCAAACTTAAAAATACGTCAAATAATGAGGAAATTTTATCTAATACTAGTTTATGTCCGCGATTTTGTCTACATTAATTTCAGAATTAGAAATGTATAACGGACGGGCGAACTTTATTCCTCCTTAAATGCAGTAGATAAGATGATTTTGGATTTGATCAACTTATTTTTTTTTCAATAGGATGAAAAGTATCATATGTCCTTTCTATGTTCTAATCTATCTCTATACCAATCTTCATCCAAACCCGTACAGCCGCTCTTGAGTTATAAGTAGCCTAACTAACACGACTTTCTTTTACATATAAAGATTCTCCAACGAGCAAAATATTTGATATTTCCTAGTTTTATAAATGACTTTAATTTTTTATAATAAATGTCATTTACATTGACAATATTAAATCCATCAGCCAAATGTATTTATAATTATATTAAAGCCGGCACACGAGTTACTGGTGATCAGGTAGAAATTGGTTTTGCCAATCAAATGTGTATTAAGACAGGTGTATCTGAGTCCGAATGTAAAAACACATCATTTATATTTTATCTGATGTCGGTTAAATAGTCAACGGTAGTGATATTATTATTATGTTTTCTTCCTATTAAAGTTTATGCTAGTTTATGTAAGACTTGCAGTTACTTTTAAATAAAGATAATAGTTTAGTAGATATCAACCTAATAAGATCAACTGACAGACATTCACATCTCGTCTGTCCGTGATCACGGTTGCTAAAAAGTAGTAGTTTATAATAATAAAATACGCGAAGTAATATGAATAATACTAGTTTCATGGAGTTTGTTTGTGCATATGTCGATTGTTCTAATTATAATTATTTTAAATTATAATCACTGAGACATCGTTTTAAATATCTGGTTGATTGTTTTAAATAAGACCTTCATCCTTGCAAAATGCACAGTATATTCTACGAGTGGTTTTTTCTCTATATAGTTCTGTTAATAAAAAATCAATAATAATTAATATATAACAAGAAACGAATCGATTCACATTACATTGGCAAGTTTATATATTTTTAATATTATAAACAAAAATAGAACACAAAATTATTTCAATCAAATTATAAACTTCACAAACTTAAGCATATATATGCTCTTATATTCGTTTCATAATCTATCCTCATCCTATCCCTACTAATATTATAAATGCGAAAGTAACTCTGTCTGTCTGTGACGCTTTCACGCCTAAACCACCGAACTGATTTTAATTAAATTTGGTACAGACATAGAGTTGACCTTGAGAGAGAACATAGGATAGTTTTTATCCCAGACTTTTGAATAGTTCTCTTGGAAACGCGGGCGAAGCTGCGGACGGAAAGCTAGTATATTATATTGTTATATTCGTATTTAATACTGTTTCATTTCCAGGTCAAGCGGGTGTGAATCAGTTGGGTGGTGTGTTCGTGAATGGCCGCCCTCTCCCAGACGTGGTGAGGAAGAGGATCGTGGAGCTGGCCATACTGGGAGTAAGACCGTGTGATATAAGTAGACAACTACTTGTATCACACGGCTGCGTCTCTAAAATATTGACGAGGTTCTACGAAACTGGGTCTATACGGCCAGGGTCTATCGGCGGGAGTAAAACTAAGGTAATTGGTATTAATTAATATAAACTAAGGTAGATATTAGCTTCCATACCAGACATATTTTTGTGTTCGCGAATTTTAATTGTCTCTCACTACAACGATGGACTCGACACACGCACCGTGAATACATGGAATGATGAGAGGTTTCGTCTCGGTAAACTTAATACTTTTATATTCAAGCAAAAATATTCATTTTGATCTTCCTTTTTTTTCTATAGTAATACAGTAAACAACACATACAGACTTTCGACTTTATATTAATGATCATACCATATACAGGGTGACTGGTGAATTACTATCAATATTTAAGGAGAATACTCGGTACATGATTCTCATTCGAATTATGTAAAAAAAATAGGTACTTAATTTTTGACCAAATTTCCGTATAAATAAATAAAGTCTGGACACGTTCCAAGTGTGGACGCGTGCGGCGGCGTGCTGATACAACACCACGCCACCACACGCGCGCGTGTGTGTGTGTGTATACCTAATCTGTAGGGTGTTCACACGATGCATAATTAATTGCATAACTTTTGGTTAACTTTACTTAGAAGTTTATTAATATTTATGTTATATTAATTTTTATTTTGTCATATATGATCGTCAAATATCACGTCCTCAAGTATCGATAGTAATTCACCAGTCACCCTGTATATATATATTATTAATGGCGAAAAAATAAAAACAAAAAAAATCCTTAATGTAAAAAATTATTATTGATAAATATTTATAATTATAAATATTCTATAATTCTACCATTTTATTAATTTATTTCACCAACGATCAATATTTGGACAACATTACAAAATTTATCGCAATCAAAATAAATCCTACATTTACCTATTTCACTGTCATAACTCATAGTTCATACCCATTTGACATTTCTGACAGAGAAAGAAATATCTTTCTATCCTTACATAATATTACTATAATCATTGCAAGTACTTGTTAGAATACAAATAAACAACATATCCTACATTACAAGCTAACAGTCCATAATATATATATATATATATATATATTAGAAATGATTCCACTTCTTTGGCGCCATTACCAGTGTCAATGACAGTTATATTGACAGATGACAGTTGTAACAACTAAATACGTACAGAGTATATAATAACAGTATTTGAGTGTACTCTAACAGCTTATATAATTGTAGGTTGTATATATATGTATTATTAAATTGAATTATAGATTAAAATTAACGGAATTATTAAATGATGGAAGTTAATTGAAATGGATTGATATTTTAAAAATTTTCTTATAAAAAGAAATATTAATTTGTTATATTTCTTCATATTTAAGCTAACTTTAAAAACTATAGTTATTTTAATAAATGACTTCATATAATTATTATTAAAAACCAAGTAAATATCAAAACAATTTTATCCGACCTTTGAATTTAAGTTAACTCAAACCAGCAATTCATTAACGGACCAAATAAAACGAAATAAATAATCGATAGTAGCAATTAAACGTACTTACGATCACCGACCTTGCAATCAAATACATATAAACTAAAAACTAAAAAAGTTAGTTAAAAAATAACAGATAAATGTGAATAAAAACAAAAATAAACAGTGCAACCGTGTCATAAAAATGGACGAAGAGCTCCACGGAGGCAATCATTTGTAATTATAAACTATAAAATCACTACAGTTTCGGCTTCTTCATGTGGCCTTTGGACACGCTTCGAACGATCCGAGTGGGAGAGTTCCGTATGAAAATATATATGTATATTTATATATATATGTATATATACAACCTCTTTGGTGGAATAAAATATATTATAAAAATTTGAAAGCTTTTCATATGTATTAAATAGTAATAATCAGATTTAAGTCGTGTATAATTCGATATATATTTATCATTAAATTTAGTACAGCAAAATCGGAATTTGTATTAAAAAAATATATTTCTTCATCTAATTCGTGTGACATATGTAGCCAATCTAATATATTAAAATTCATTTTATATATCAATTATATTTTAAACGTTTAAATCTTTATATTTCTGAATGTATCAAGCATCTCCGTAGCCGAATCACACTCACTTTAGATTCGGTACGCCAATAAAACTCGAAAACGATTTGAATTGATTAAAACAGAATATTTTGTATCACAACATTTATGGCATCTCTTAATTGACTACTAATCAACTGAGGTATGAACCGAAGTTCAGATATAAAGAATCATTTTTATATTATATTATTTGGGTATAATTTTATTGCAATGCCTTTTAAGGTTTTTGTATCATATGTTTATAATTCGTGTATATTTTTTATATTCGCGTGGGACGAAATGTTTAAGATTTAATCTGAGTTATACATAGTTTAGCAAATCAAAATTTTCGATCCCAAATTTGTGTTAGATTAAAAGAAATTAATTTGGAATTTTTGTTCGATGAGTGATTTTCAGGTCAATTTTATAATATATTTTTTAATTTTTAGTTTATATATATATATGATATTTATATTTTCAGATAAATAATAGTTATTTCCAAACAAATGTTCACGTTTCTGTATCTCCCAAATATTCCTCTATTCCTTTCATAATTTTCATTTGATTTCGATATAAGTATTAAAATTCTTAAAAAAACACTAAATATAGGTCTACATTTTTATATTTAGCATTGTTTATTGAATTAAATGAATACAAAATCTTGCATATTCTGGTTTTCGTAAATATTAAAAAATTCAGTTGATTTTTCACGTAATAATTGTTCAACCATTTTTTCATGTTTGTCATTTGATTAGTAGAAAAATTAATTCAAAACCAGTAGAATATAAACCGTAAAAAAAGCTTGTAATCTATAATAATATAATATTTTTTATATATAACAATCAACATTTTATTCGGACATCAAAATATTTCCAATTAACCAGTAGACGCTCGAACACGTAACTAATCCACACTGTGGGAGAGCACGCCATGTACCGTACTGGCACATAGCGAAAACATATTACATACACAATTAAAATTAGTTACGCCATTTTAACATTTATTACACATAGAAAACGCAACAGAATCGCCCGTACCATTTATTATAATCCATAACGATTCGACATGACATGCTTTTTCTTTAATCTGAGTCGATTACAGAAGCTTTTATTATATACTATCAGATTTCTATGTGTTATAATTTATAGAACCTCGATTTCTATAGTGGGAACTTTTTTTGTAACAACCTCCTTTGATACACCGGCTGGGCTGTTTGATGTTGGACCGTAGTCGAAAGTATGATTGGATAAAAAAAAAACGATTGAGTATCATTTGTCTATAGGTGTTATATTTTGCGAGTGTATTGGCGGCAATTTGAATTTTACGATTCGAAGTTATGGTTTTTATGATAGATGACCAGAATTTATGATCGAATTACTGTAATTAGATCCGATGCCGCTTTATGATCACGTGGGCGGCCCACGAACGCTCACAGTGGATCCGTGATCATTTGAATACGTACAATGGGGTTTTCATTTATTGGCTTACATTCATACAATAGTTTATTTATTTATTAGACTTGCAGAGAATTTTATTAATATAAATTAATTGGCTTATAGTTATAAGAAGTGAAATACAAAAAGTTTAATTATAATCAATGGTCATGTTTAACTAAGTCAAGATTTATATATGAACTTTGTATGGAATTTAATGAGTACTGAATTAAAAAATGTAACAATTATTATTTAATCAATCTCAAATATTATATCAAAATTACTGACAGAGCTATATAAAAATATTTTTTACATATTTTGTATGTATATATAGTAATAAAATGTACATATTTATTACATCAAAGTTGTAATAAATATATATATACATATACATATAATATCAAAGTTTTTACCGCTTATATTTTAATAATACCTAAACATATCGTTTAACGCGTCTTCACTTGACTTACATTAATATATACATAAAATAAGTCTATTATTTTAATTATTTATAAATACTATGCATTCCCAAAGAGGGTTGATGTCAGGCAGGCGGTCGTAAAAACAGTTAGCCAAAACTATTCACAACGTGCAAGCCAGACCCTGGCTAGAGCTGGGAAATTGCCAGGTAGAAGAAGAAGATTATCATTAATATATTAATGAGGTGTGTCGGAACATACAAACGGATCTACAAGTTATAAAACATACCAAAGCGGCTAATATCCAATTAGTATGTAGTCGTGCGGCCGCTAGCTCGTTTCCCGTGACTTTACCTACGATACTTACTAAGTGTGAAGTGCTTTTCGCTCGTCGTAACACTGTTCATACATTGTTAGCATTTGTTTCATAAAACTATTAATACACGTTTTAATAATAACTATAAAATGATTGTATGACGAAAGAACTTATGTTCTGTTTAATGGATTTTGTGTAAATTAAACATATATTTTCAGATTTATTTCGTATTTTTATTATCATCTTACGTAATTTTTATGTTAGGATCACAAGGAAAAGTAAATTGGATGAAGACATTATCCCTACTAATATTATAAATGCGAAAGTAACTCTGTCTGTCTGTCTGTTACGCTTTCACGCTTAAACCACTGAACTGATTTTAATGAAATTTAGTACAGAGATGGAGTTGACCTTGAGAAAGAACATAGGATAGTTTTTATCCCACACTTTTGAAAGGTTCTCTTGGAAACGCGATATAACCGAACTCCACGCGGGCGAAGCTGCGGCCGGAAAGCTAGTAGCCTATATTTCATTTCGATGTCTGAATGAGAAAGAGTCACAAACATACATACATTCATATAGCACTGTAGATGTCATCAAAGTTATAAAAGAAATATTAAAAAATAACTAATATTTTCGTGTACTACGTTTTTTATTATTTTAACTACATACTCCCGACGTTTCGGTTACTTTTCAGCAACCGTGATCACGGACAGACGAGATGTCATTCTCATTGGAAGTATGAATTCGTATGAAGTTAAAATAATTAAAGTCGCTTAATAAATTTGAAAATATTTTTTATTCCAATGAATATACGCGTAAAACTAGATCT